GCTGCTTTGCCATTCTTCATGTTCTTCAGAGCCTGCTTTATTTCCTGTCGGGTGATACATTCGTCGCTGACATCTATTTCGTTTTGCTGCCTATCGTCAACAACTGCGGGGGCTACTGGATCAGGCCGGTTCAGGACATTGTCGAAATGTTCTTGCCATTCCTTGCAGCCTCCTCGGCTTTCCTTGCAAGCTCATTTGCCCATTCCCTCTTGTCTGCTCTCAAGCTTCTCTTTACTTCCTTGTTTTTCTCATTGTATTCTATTCTCCTTCTTTCTCTTATCCTTACTGATCTTGTGCACTTAACTATAGCTTTGTGATATTTCAGGTATCTTTCCACGTTATATTCTCATCCCGGCTGGCCGTCCGTTCATCCAAGCGAAATCAGAGAAGAATTAAGAGAAAACATCAAGGAAAGCTGGATGTACAAGTTGACACCTTCTTGGTTGTACAAGCACATTCACATCATCGGGGAGAAGAAGTCACGTGGACAACCTGTTAGCTTTACTGATTTCTTCGGATACCTTGTCGGAGAAACCATTTTGAAGGACGTAAGTTCTACCAGTGTCCACTTCAAAATCTGTAAGCGACTTAACCCTTAGGTTCTCGTCAGCTACGATGTTTTGTCTCAAACTACAACCTTGTGAAAGATGCAGAGAGATATATGTCGTTATTAATGTTCCTATCTTGTGTTTTCCTTCAAAGCGGAAAAATGTTCCAAAACTGAGCGAGCAACGCTTGGTGGTAGGAGATGGTAAGGTTCCATTTCCTCTCTACACCTGCGTGCATGTGAAAAAAGATGTGTCTGCATTAGAGTATTCAGGTAAGAACACAGAATATGTTGAAGTAAGATTGCGGTCACACTGCGGCCAGACTTCAAGACAGCGAAGCGTTGAAAGTTTTTTCACTTGACCGTTTTGACACTCGCTATCCTAAGAGCTAGGTTTCGAAGACAAAATATACCGCGTCTTTTTCGCAGTGAGACTGCACTCACACTGCGGTAAGATTGCTGACTTCACTGTTATAAGAATGCGGTCCTACTGAGGTAAAATTGCACTTACATTGAGATAATATTGCGCCACACTGTACAAAAACTGCGGTCACACCGAGGTGTATTGTGGTCATACTGCAGTAAGGTAGTGGCCATATTGTAGTAATATTGCAAACATACTACTGCAAGAAACATTTCCATTCATACGTCGTTGATTGCGATCAGTTTTGACTCACAGGTCTGTCATCGTTGCTATTCCCGAGTTTACTGTAATTGAAAATTAAAGACGTGTTTGAGATGAAAATCATTCCGGTATATTGTCCGCTTAGTGTCTAGCAAGTTCTGCCAGAGAATTAATTATGACTTCACTGCATGGTTTTGCTCATGACTCTATCTTGTTTATCCACAGAATGGATGGAGTTCAACCCTTACGAAATAGGAATGTCAAAATATGGCACTTATATGAAAACAGAGCATTTTGGAAGCAAGTTTTTCTGCGGCAAGCTTCTGACTCCAGCCTACCCTGAACCATCACTAACTTACTTACAAGGTCAGTAGTAAACATTACCGGGGTTAATGAGTGTTAATATCGAATCCGTGGTCATCGCCACACGTATTGGCTCCATAAGGATACGTCATCGTGTTGCTAATCTCATACAAAAGTAATTGTCTTTTAACTTGACGAAAGACGTGACTCCGTAAGGTGTGCTCAATCGCTCAATTATTCCTAAGCAAATAAAATGTCAGCCAAATAAATATCACCAAAATGCGTTTAGAATTCATCAAATGTGTTAATCAAGCTCTCTCTCACTGAAGACGATGACGTTACGCTGTCAAACGGCAAACGGCAAAAATGAAAGTTTTGCCTTCTGTCTCCAGCTGTCTGTATTTGCGGTGAATAGTAGAAGACATTTTTCGATTTTTGGGTGATTTATTTAAGGATTACATGAAAAGAATAAAAAATCAGAGGTAATCTTTGCCGTTTGCCGTCTACCGTAAACGTCATGCTTAAACTCTCTACTCTTTTTTCACAGGTATTTGGGGAAGTGCTTTCACTATTCTACTACAACGAGTTCTTCACGAGGGTGAATCTCATGAAAACGCGATCAAGAGCATGCAAAACTCTGGTGATCTGAGAGAAGAATTACGTATGTATCTATTTTTAGATCACTTGCCATATCAACATTCAAAGCGGAAAAACGTGTTAAGCATGCGCGAGTTTTGGCCGCGCGCCAGGCTCCAAGTTTGAAAAAAAGAGGCGGGAAATTTCGTCGATCGTGTAAACACAAAAAGTTACAAACTTAATATGCCTTCCCAATTTTCACGTTAAGCAGCAACATTTTTAACGTCACTAATGGAAAGCTCGTGTATTGTTTTCGTACGGAATCCATTTTTGACGGAAAAAATTAACCTGAAGACGGTTTCTGGGCATGAACCCTTTATTTTCCCGCGGTATTCAAAAAGTTTCGGCGCGAAGACACATTTTTTTTTCCACAAACACTCTTTACATATTGCATCCATATGAGAAAACCACGGAATGTATAAGTAAGAGAGCCTCTCAGCAGGCGGGGGAGCCTTGTTTTCTTAACAGTGAAATATGGAAAAAAAATTCATGCTTGTGCAAGTGTAAATAAATCAACCTAGCGACATCCTCTCGTACCTTATTACAGTCCGCCGTACTTTCCAACCATTGCAGTTTGCATTATTACCTGAGCCCGCAAGTGGGGCTAGGGATGCGCAGAAAGTCGCACACTACGTACGTTTTTCCGCTCTGAAATATCAACATGGAAATTTTCGACCCCAGAGTTCCTCTCTCTGTTCTAGGGAACTGGATCGATAGTGATTTTAAGTGTGCCACGTCAAAGACGCTATTTATGTACTTGAAGTACTTGAAGTCGAAGCACTTTTCCTCGAAATACTTTACTCTGCTTGTTGCACATGTGTTAAGAACGTTACGTTTACTTGTATGCGTCGTGAAATAATGGTATTCAAGAAATGTTCCTTTGGGTGGGATGTACAAAAGTCCTGAAATCCGGAGCGAGCGAGGGGGATAAGGCACTACGAAAATTAATTCATATGTTTAGTCACATCATTTGTCCACATCTTACCTAAACCGCTGTCAGCGATGTTGTATAGTACTTCCAGCTTGCATTTTACTAACTTACTGAGAAAACAAAAACTGAAACGCACTGTCCGCTCCACAGACCAAGCAGAACCCGATGGGGATGATGAAGACAGTGATGAAGAAGACGATGGCATGGATGATGTAGACGGCCAGCAAACAGAGATGGAACCAGAAGACCATGATCAAAGCTTCCTGGCCAGAGTCATGGAGGGCTTTATTGAAAAATGCTCAGTGCTGAAGACACGCTCTGGTCGAGCAGGCCTGGTGCACAACTTTTTGCGTGGACTGCAGCTGATGACTGCCCCAGTCCCCTCTGGTGAGGCACGACTGTTGTTCGTTTGTTTGATTGATTGATTGTTTGTTTGTTTGTTTGTTTTGTTTGTTTATTTGTTTGTTTGTACACAGAAATATTACATCTCTCAAGCACCACACAGGTGTACTCAAAATTAAAATTTCTGAGACGTAGTTTCAATTATTTAGTTTTAAAACGATGGCAAAAACGTTGTTGATCTTTTGGCCAATCTATCGTCATTTTACTTACAGTCCGCTCCTATATGCTGTTACACCTTCAGACATACCAGTGCAATGAGCTAGTGTTCAGTCTCCCGCTTTAGTTTTTTTTTTTTGTAATACGCTAATGTTGTCTATTTGACCACGCAGAAGCCGTTGAAGATATCACTGATGCCGCTGACCAGCTAGCCATGAAGGACAAGCGCATCTACTTGGTTGATAGCGGTCTCGTCTTCAATTCGCCATATCCTTTGCTATTGAGACCTGAGCGAGATGTGGACATTTTTCTGTCATTTGATTTCAGTGCTCGAGACAAGGAAGAGGAGATGCCTTTCCAGGTAATTGAATTAAATTTGTTGAACGCTTCAGCTCTTTTTAGCGGCATTAGAATCCTGCCTTGCAACCACTAAAAGTTCAGTCAATTTCTAAACTGATAATCCTTTTACACGATTAGCTTAATAACACGACCTGATTTTCATGTCCCAACGGTGGTTGTATTAATAATAAACGAAACAATAATATTAGTAATAATAATAATATTAGTAATAATAATAATAATTATAATAATAATTAATTATAATAATAATAATAATAATAATAATAATGGTACTATATCAAAAAGTGGATATGATCATATGCGCTTTACAAAATTATTTATAAAACTATTCACAAATAAAAAATTAAAAGGAAAATCATGATCCTAATTGTAATCATATTTACATTGAAATAAAAAGTAAAATTCATCACAATCAGTGGTAAAATAAAGTAGAAGAACAAAAAAATAAAATAAATAACCTAAAGGATTGTCTCCATATATCATCATTATAACGATTGTTCCAATATCAACAGTATTCAACTGTATTCGGCGTTCCCAAATCATATTTATTTTTATCACCCTGTGATTCAGGAACTCCTGCTGGCGGAGGCATGGGCACGAAAGAACAACCTGAAGTTCCCTCCTATTGACGCCGAGGAACAGTACCAGAAGTACGGTTTAAAAGAGTACTACGTGTTCGCCCACCCGACGGATCCTACCTGCCCTGTGGTGGTGCACTTCGTGCTTGTCAACAAGACTTTTAAAAAACAAAGCCGTCCAGGTTTGTTTCAAGACGTGAATGAATATCAGCTGTGATTCTCATTTAGAGGGCATCAACAACAACAACAACTAGCTTTATTTGCATGACCATAAATACATATAGTGTTGCAAACTAAAACAGTAACGATCATCGTGAACGTATGATCATCCATCGGTCTATACTGTTTACCCTTTCGTTTCCCGCTAAATTTCGTGTGCACTGTTTTGTTTGGTTAAAATCAGTTTTAATTTCTTCTTTATTATGATCCGGGAGAGTGGAACGATTCGGCAACACCCCTTCAGAGATACATAAGGAGATTTGCCTAAGATTAACATCCTGAAAAATATAAAGTTCTAGCACTCGTGAGTCAGCCCTTTATGGTGTGAAGACTAGTCATGAAGGCAAGGCTAGTTAGTACTCACGATCGAATAGTCTACGTTGCAATACTCTAGAGACCTATTGGCTGCAAGCCTTTGTTGACCTTTGATTTTCCCGGCTGTGATAATATCCGGAGAAGCTTCACCTCCTCCCCCTACCCCTCCCCCCTGCCCACCATCCACCCTCCACCCTTATAAAAGAAAATACGAAAGTGAAATTATTTTTGACCCCACCATGCAAAGAGGTTTCGATCTGCAATGCATGATCAGCTTTATATAACATTTAAGACTGAAGCGTTACATTATATTGCCTTTTCAGGAATCCCTCGCAGAACCGCCAAGGAGAGAGAGTTCGCAGACTTCTCAATTTTCGAGGATCCAGAAGGCCATTATAGCACGTTCCACTTCACGTACGCTAGGGAAGCATTTGATCGCCTGGCAGAATTGAACAAGTTCAACACCCTGCTTGCAGAGAAAACCATTATGAATGTCATGGCTGACTGTGTGAGAAATCGACGAACAGACAAAGCAAAAAATATTGGCTCTAATTAACAATTCCATGACGCGATGTAGTTGAGGAACAATTCATTGTGATTGACTTCGATCGATAAATGTCCCAAAATTTACCTGTGTGTATGTAAAAAATCAGGACGAGGTGTTATCAAAATTATCTCATTGGAAACTCTTCCGGCATTCCACGGGAGGGGAACTCTCTATAGACTCTATATGAAGCTGTTCGTCATACATTTATCGATTAAAAATCGAGGAATTTTTTTTTCGCGTATATTTTAGGACGCAGCCAGTAAAACTTGGCGTTGATATCGTTTAGAACTTTTTT